CGCCCAGCCACACCTGGCAAAGAGGACCCCGCCGGCGCAAATACGGCCACCCGCCGCGCCCCCGCTTGGCAATGAGGACCCGGCCAACGGGCGCCCCCYGCCCCGCGCGATTTTTCACGGACCCGCCCAGCTYGCATGCACCYGCCCTTGCCCTGCGTCCCCGTGCGCCCCCCGTCCCCATGCGCCCCCAGACCGCCCGCCAACCGGCTCCTCCAAACCGGTGCGCCGCTCGGGTAAAGACGGGACCCGGCGCACACCGCGGCGCGAAACCCATCCGGCACTCTCGCGTGGGCGGGTCTCTCACATCCGGGACCCTCCCACCAGCTGCGGTGTCTCGCATGGGCCCATCACGCGAGACCCGCCTTTTGCTTTAAGGTTTTAGAGAAAAGCTTTTTAACAAAAGGGGAAAAAAGAAAAAAGAAAAGGCTCCATTACCCACAACCCTATATTCTCCAGGGCATCCAATGTCCTTGAGAATTGCCTCCAAGTCCATCGAGTGTCCACTTGCAGTCCAACCATTGTAACTTTATCTGTGCACTGTTCTACACCTCCCACGGCACAGAAACACAGCACGAGAAAAGAGTTAGCACACACAGACAGACTCAGAGTCAGCAAGCATCACAGACTCTTGGGCACACGGACAACACAGCAAAATAAACTCGGAGATCTCAGCAAATCAGCCCAACCAACAGTTATTCTTAAAAAAAAAAAGAAAAAAAAGTGGAATCTCAGACTGCAACTGCTTGGGTCATGGGACATATGGGACAGAGCAGCTCTCAGGGCTGGTGAGAGCGAGCGGGCGGCTTTGTGGACTTAGCCCCCATCTTGTCGCTGATTATTCTCCATGGTTTGTCGGAGCTTTGTCCACATCAATTCTTCAGTTCAATGAATCTAGGAAGTCAAGCACTGCACATTTGTGCAGAAGGTAACTTCTTTAGATCACTGTGAATAGATGTAAGCTTTCTTTTCTTTTGAACAAAAAAAACAGGTGGGGGGGGGCAGCCCCTACGAGTCCTAAATTCCTCCTAATAGCATTCTTATCCATCAGATTGCATCAGTATTCGAACTTCGTCATAAAGGTAATAAAGTAGGCAATGTGGTAAAAAAGAAGAAACTAGTTTTTCGAGAGTCTGTAGATCTCAATCCAAGAGTCTGTTCATCAACACTTACCTGTGTGTCCTCAGTCCTGCCATTTTTTGCATCCTTCTGATTCCCCCAGGACTCGAACTCATGATCTGGTTGTCAACAGTTACATTTGTATATTTTTTGTCGGGATTTGAACTCTCATGATCTGTTCATCAACAGTTGCATGTGTGTCCTAACATTGTTTGTATCATCTTATTTGAAGTTATTTCATAAGGATTCGAACTCTTATCATCTGTTCATCAACATTTACATGTGTATCATTCAGCCCATGGGATGGTTTGGATGGCTATTTAAAATTTTTAATCGGAAAGTTCGAAGTTGAGGAGTCCATCGCATTTAGAGTTATGCCTCATGGTGGGTGGGTGATTGACCAATGACCATTTTCATTCTCAGCTTGCAGTCCTGGGAATTGCAAGGGAAAGGTAAGATTTCATGTGAACTTAGCCCGAGCGAGTATATATATGTTGGGAGTCTTGCCCCGCTGGTGCCATGTTCATGCATGAACCTAGTTGTGCACTGCCAATTGATCAGGTTCATGCTTTCTAAGCATGAACATATTAGCAGTGTGCTCGTTGAAGTTGGTCAGGTTCATGCTCTTTTAGCGTGAACATAGCAGCATTGGGCCTGGGCCTTAGCCAGGGTAAGGCTTCCTTGGAGTTTAGCCAGAACGTATGACAGTCTGAGGTGGATCTGCATTCCTGCTGGTGATGGGCAAACCAGGGTGTGCTTGTGACAAGCACAGGTCTTGCCACAGAGAGAGAGAGAGAGAGAGAGAGAGAGAGAGAGAGAGAGAGAGAGAGAGAGAGAGAGAGAGAGAGAGAGAGAGAG